ACCTATTATATTGTAAGCAATTGACAAATAAAAATAAAAAAAATAAAAAATAAATTTTTATGTGAGAGTAGTCTAAGGGCTACTCCAAAAGTTGTCACAATTATTTTATAAATGGGAGAAAATCATGTTAGATGCACTGACATAATATTTTTAACATTGACTCAAATATTAATAGTGAATATTTCGATATTAATTCAAGACAACCATTTTAATGATCTCAGCTCAAAGAAGATTTGTACACTCCAACTTAATCACTCAAGCAAGTAATGAACTCCAAAACACCGATCCACCTTGAAAAGGACTTTCCATCTGCCTCTTTAATTTAATTTATATTCTGAATCTCTTACCATACCAATTTTAATTGCATTTAGCTTTCTCAACTTTTATATTAATAATACAATAATAACAGATAACCTAGGATGTCTTCTAGTCCAAGCCTCTGCTCAAACAGAAAACCTTATACCATTTCAGACAAATGGCTGTCCAGTCTCTTTTTAAAAGCCTCCAGTGATGGAGCACCCACAACTTCTGAAGGCAAGCTGTTCCATTGATTAATTGTTCTCACTGTCAGGAAATGCTTCCTTAGTTCTAAGTTGCTTCTCTCCTTGATTAGTTTCCATCCATTGCTTCTTATCCTGCCTTCTGATGCCATGCAGCTTCTAATAAAACCTTGTTTTCCTCTTTGCTCAGACCCCTAATCTAGTCAAAGGCCATGTTTCATCAGGGAAATTAATGGGGTTGCACAATGAAATAACTTAAATAAGCCAAGTGTAGGGACTGGACTGCGAGATGAGGGGCATATAAATTATAAATGAAATAATTTCAAAAATGTAGAAAAGCACAGGTTACACAACATATTGTAATTAATTATCCCAATATTTATTCAGCTCCATGTTCTGGGTTCACATGACAGCATCTTATTTTTCTCCTTCCTAATTTAAAATTAAGGACCTCTTTCCATAATATTCTCTTTGTCCTGTTCAAGCAAATCACATTATGCTGATTTTATATTGACTTGCATTCCACACCATTGTTTTTTAATAACGTCAAACCAAAGATCTGTAAGAATCATAAGCTAGTAAGGAAGCATGCGGTTGCACCTGTTTGATCTCAAAGGAAGAGCCCAGGAACAGTTATACATGTAGTGGAAACAGACATCAACTAGAAGTTGTGGATTTAAAGTCTCTGGTCACAAGAAAACACACAAAACCCAGCTATAGATTATTAGATGGGACCTGAACACTTGGATAACTTGGCTATGAACACTAGGACTGGACTGAAAGTCAGCTTCTCTATCAGGATCAGAAAAAAAAAGTCCATCCTTGAAAGACTGAGTTTTCCTGCCAGCCTAAAAGCAATATGCTCTATTATCCCAGTCACTTCACCCCAATGGCATTCAACTAAAGATCCTACACACACACACACACACACACAGAGAGAGAGAGAGAGAGAGAGAGAGAGAGAGAGAGAGAGAGAGAGAGAGAGAGAGAGCATTAACACATTGAACCCTGTACACATTATACTAAATAATGAAAACTAAGCATTATTTTCTACAGATGAGATGAGAAGGCTTTACAATGACAACAACTCTTAAGGATGAAATTGAAAGTTGATTAACAAGAGAGGGAAGTCCAAAAGAAGAAGAAAGAAAAAAGCAAATTTGAAATAAGGAGAGGGATACAAAAAAATGAAAATTTCTTTATACTAATGTTCTGCTTAAATATCTTAGTGTTATTAATGCTTCAGACGGTAGCATGTATACACACATACACACACACATACAAATATATACACCTACAGACTGACCCATCCTACTTTTTAAAATAGCTTTCCAGATATGATGGACCAACTTCTATAATTCTGATTTGATCAAAGACTGGCTGGGAATGATGGGAATTAAAAATCCAACACAAAACTAGAAGAGCCAATCTGTACATTCTTCTGCCCAGAAGTGCATATCATTTAGATACATTCCACACAAGAATTTTTTGTGGCTTGCATATTCATATTGTGAAAATTTCATAGGTGAGAAATGAAAGCCGGATTTCAATTCAATTGCCCCATGTTAATGCAGATGGCTGTCTTTACAAAGAAAGTAGGATGCCAGTGAATTGATTTAACTAGAGCTATCTTACCGATACATACAAATTATCTATATATTCATAAATAGTATCAGTTGTCCTTTTTGCACATCCCCAGGTTAATATATAAATGTTTTCCAATTTGCTTTCAAAATAAATTGTCTAACAAAGAAAACTATTTTTCATTGTCTTTTATCTGCTTTTTAAAATTTCACCATGAATTTGTTGGCCCTACTTTCTAAATTCAATATAGATGTTTTTATTAACAGATGTAATACACATGGAGACACATGCAGAGAGAGGGAGCGGGGGAGAGAGGGAAAGAGGGAGGGAGAGAGAGGAGGGTATTTTTATTTCCAGAAAGGAGACTGCCATAAACCAGGCACTAATGAGTCAAACTTTTAGAAACAGAAAGAAGGTGTGGGGACATGCTACTGCTCCTAGTAGCAGTATATTCATCAGTATATTCAGTAGTGAAAATTGGGCTGCTCCAGACCAGCATGACATAACCAGTAGAATGAAAAAAACACATCTTTGTATCCCATCACGTTGATGTTTTGCATCTTCAAAGAGTTCAGGAAATACATTCCCAACTGCAGACAGTAATAAAGTATTGTGGTAAAGTATTCAATGGTTTTGAGAACTAATCTGAGCTAAATCACCATTTTGCCATGCTGCTTTAAACCAATTGGCTGACCTCCTCCCACTCATCAAACAGGGGGAAGGGAAGGCTGTAGCAGACAAGAAAAGGGAGCCAGGCTTCCTCAGGGAGCATTGGTTTTTGTTTTGTTTTTCCTCCTGATAACTTTGCCTTTTTTCAGTCAAACTGAGTGTTTGACTTCTACAGGGAAATGAAGCTTGGTTTTTCAAAAAAAATGTAGTCAATTAATCCTAAACATGAAGTTATGCTTTCTCCCAGGAATAAGGGGGAAAAAACCAAATTTTCAGCCTCTCTTTATTGAAATCATAGATGGATGTAATTTATTTATTAATGGCTGACTTGTTTTTTCCTTTATGCAAACACCAAAATAACCCATTTCATTTATGAAATGCGGCTTCTTTGTAGCAGATATTTTCACTTGAAACATCAAAAAGATCAGAATGCTGCTGCAATGTACTATTTCTATGTTGCTTCATGTTGGTTTCCTATGCCATACAATCCAATTACAACCACTGAGAAGCACTTAATTTTATACTGAGAATTATACTATTTCATAGGTGTTTTAAAATATATCTGTGGGGAAAAAATCTCCTTTCCAAAAAAAGCATTAGGAATTCAATATTCACACAGAATATCCATATCACTGATCAGCTATTTTGGCGGACACAAGCCACCACACCCTTAAAGCATGAAAAAGAAGGCTCTGCAGCTATTATTATATATATTACTCAAACATACTGCCAAATGCAGACATGATACTCTTTTAAGACATAATATTGCTTTTATATTTAGTAAAAGTGACAACAGGGCCCTACAGGAACATGCATCTAACTCTGCATTGCTAACGAAATCTTAAGCTAAGGATAGCATTTTCTGAAGATAAACAGACACCAGAAAAAGTGTTGTTGTTTCTGATGACATAGACATATAGACTCAAACTTGGGATCATAAATGATCAATTAGCGACCTGAGAATAGGGAATATGAATCTGTACGTGGATATTGAATTTTTAAATCCAGACATGTTCTAAAGCTGACTACAATATAGGTAGAAACAAAAAGGAAGAAAATAATGAACACACTGTCTACAACAGGTTGTATAAGCCTCCAAATAAAATCCTATCCCCTGCCCAGATTTTATAGGAGAACTGACCATAATATTTTAACATAAATTTTAAGAGAAAATTGACCATTCATTCTTCTTATGGTTGTCCTACAAGGATTATAAACCCAGACTCTAGCTAGTTGTGCTTCTAACTTAACAATGTCCCTTTCATTGCTCTCTCCAGCAAATGCATGGCATGTAATATTGCTCCATCCGCCAGCAGAGGTATTTAAATCAGATTTCAAGGGCGCCACCTTTTGATAAAACTGAGTTTATGAGAAAGAAAAACAGAGAAAAATTCTTAATGTATAATCTATAGGAAACTTTAGATATTCTTCTCAATATACAATATATGCACGTATGATTGTACATATGAATAATTACTAGAATCATCTGTGACATTTATATATGTCTATGCATTTATAAATGTAGCAATGTGTTATTTTGCAGGTAAGAAAAAGTTGATTTCCACTGATTAGTTTGAAAGTAACCATCTATAGTGTTTGCTTCCTTCCTTATATGGAAAGGAGGAAAGGGCTGTATCATTTAATAAATCAAATGCCAGGTTCTGAACAACAGCGAAGGCCGCCATCCTTCTCTCTCGCTCCCACTCCTCATTACTCATTTTTCAGCACAGTGGCACTGAGCATCCTCTCCCCACACCCCACCCACCCCTATTACAAACGGGGAGGGTGGAAATAAGACCGAGAAATCAACAATGTGATTGCATTGTAAGGCAAGCAACAAGCACAATTTTCTTCCGGAGGCAGTAGTAGGTTAAAACAAAAAGCAAAGGCGAGGGGGGGGGGGCGGGAGAAACCGCTGCTGAAACACACCGCTTGATCTAACTTTCCTCCAGCGGCCCACAGCCATCCTTACAACCACGGATAAGAAAAGCCCCGATTTCCCTTTCCGTGGTGCTGATCAAGTTAGTGTTCCGCGGCCCCTTTGCCAAAAAGATTGAGACCCTCGCGTGAGTTTCTCTCGCCAACTAGCCCAGCGTCCGGCGCAACCAGAAACTTTTGCACCGGGGAGAGGACCGACAAGCCCCTGGTGAAGGTCTGCCGGGAGACTTTGCAGAGGGAGACTCCCCCCCACACTCCCGCTCCCCACCGTTCGCCCCTCCCGTCCTCCTGGCCGGCTCGTCGACTTACGCTGCTGTTGTAGCCGGACCAGTGCACCATCGCCTGGTTGTGGGCCGAGTCTCCGTTCAGGGCAAAGGTTGTGCTGGACAGTTTCAACTCTTCGCCTCCACCCCCGCGCAGTTTGCCCAGCCACCCTTCCTCTTTGGAGCCTCTGCCGGGAGTTCGGGCTCTTTGGCCGTCCGGAAAGGAGGCATCCCAACCCACTCCTTCTGCCCCGCGCCGGTCCGGGCCGAAGGGTTGCCAATCCTCGCTGCTCCTCCGTGCTCTGGGGCTGCCGCCCGGCAATTCCCCGACAGACACTCCTCCGGGCATCTGTTGCATCTCAGCCCAGACGGAAGGCAAGGAGCTTCCACTGCCTTTCGCTCTATTCCCGAGTTGGTGGGAGCCGCCGAGATCGGGGCTCCGGCGCGTCCTCTCGGTTTCCTTCGGGGGCCCGCCGGTGGCTTCCTCGGGCGTCGCGGATGCGGAGCCGTGCGCCCTCACCGGCTGGCGATCCTTTCGGGGCGCTCCCATCGCTTCGCCTTCTTCCTCTACGGCCTCTCCCGCTGGACCCCATCCTCCACGGGGATTCTCCTGCAGGGTTTCCCCATCTCCGTCGCCGCTTGGCCCGAGTTTCACTCCCCGAGGAACCTCCAGCGGCGACGGCAACTGCAGCAGCTTAACCCGAAAAGATGTGGGCGATAAAGACGACTGGAAACAAGACCTGCAAGTTATCTCAGCCCCGACAAACGGCCCAGCGCCAAATAAAAGCCATGCCGAGGCGATCCAAGCGACGTAGCAGCCAGAGGACCAGCCAGCCCCTCTCTCCATGCCTTGCAGAGAGTTGGGTATGTATGTTGGGAGGGGTGGGGGGGCTCCTTTCTAAGCGGGAGGGAGGGAGCGCAGCGGCCAGCAGGTTGTTATTATTTTGCAGCCAAAGCTTTCTTCTTCCACCTTTTTTTTTCAACCTCTGAGATTGAGGTGCAGGGATTTCGTTTTGGGGGGTTTGGGGTTTTTTTTTTTCCTTTAAAAAAACAACAACAACAAAAAGTCCTGTAGTTGGATTCTGTTCTTTTCACTGTTGCTGGATTTTTCTCTTTCCTTTTTCTTTTCTTTTTCTTTCTTTCTTTCTTTCTTTTTTTTAAAAAACGTGCTTTTCAGTGAAACTGTTCACGTTCGAGGATTTGACCAAGTAAGAGGATAGCACCACCAAGGGGAGGAGCTGCTGCTCCCGAGCCAAACGCCACGGATGAAATACACCAGCAATTCACCAACCACGCTGCACTTCCAGCGGAATCCGGCGGTGTGTGCGCGCCCGAGCGGCTGCCTCGGTGCTAACAGGGCGAGTGTAAGGAAACTACACTGGCGCGCGTGGGCTGGAAAACAACAACAGCCGATGAGAGAAGCCTAGAGGAGGACCACCGCCGGGGATTTTTCTCCCCACTTTCCTGGCGGGGAGAACAGGAAGCGAGCGGCCAATGCGGCTGCCGAACGAAAGGTCTTCCTCCCCCCCTCCCCCCCAACCGTTCCTCTCGGGGATTTTCCAACCGCTAGAAAAAGGGGTCGCCTGTGCTTCCTCCATACCGCTGACAGATCTCAGCAGAAGCCATTGAAGTAACAGGCGGAGATTTGTGCGTATGCAAGGGTAAGCCCTAACAGCGGGGAGGAGTGGGGAGAAGGCAACAGCGCGACTGGCACTAATCTACTCCAGTTGGATCGGAAGTCACTCCGACGGATCACTAGTAGCAGGCGCAGGATCTCGGTTCTAGATTTGGCAACTTGTAAGGGCAGCCGTAGGGATGGGGGAATGGCTTATCCCCGTGGAGCATCCCTTCTCAAGCTAGGCGGGCGGGCAGGTAGGCAGTGCCACCGCATTTACTCAGAATCAAACCACCTTGAGCACTAGGGGCTTTAGCCTCCCATTTGTACGAGAGTGTACCCTTCCTTGAGGAGGGTTCCTCTGCTTGCTAGTCCTAATCCCTTAAACGCCCCCCCCCCAACCTGGGAAATTGACCATCACCTCGATACAGACATCTAAGAATAAATATAGATAAAAGTAGCCTTACTTTTAAACATGAGTGCTAAGCAACAGTGGAAGTAGTTTCAGGGAAATTTATCTGAGCCCAAAATTTAAAAATATTGCAAGTGGATTTCCCAAATTGTTGCATGGGGCCAAATGAGACCTGATCATTATTGCTTTAGCTGTGTAATATTTTACCACCTGAACATTCAGGATCATAGTCCTACAGAGATGTAACAGTATTTCAAAAAGGAGCAAGTTCATTTCAAAGGAAAGCCAAAGAACTGAGCCTGGAAAAGGCTTGTAGGAAAAGAAAGTCAACCGACAAATTTTTACTGGAGCCCCCTGTAGTCTCTGGGAAGCCAGAATTATTTGGATGCTATTGACAGGCTAATAAGATTCTCATTATGAGGATTCCTTACTGCTGCTTATTTTGCTTTCCCGCAAGCTACAAAGTTAATGTTATGCCAATTCATTATTCCTTCCTGTAGCAGGATTGATTCTGCATTTGTCTCTTACTACCCACCCTACCTTTTCATGGATTGATTTACATTTTCAGCCAGACCCATTGGGGATTTTAACTAGGAAATATTCCTAAACACTGAACAGATGTAAACTAACAAGTGAGAACAAATTATTTAACACAAGTAAATCTGGAATGGAGTGAAATCCTTGCTATCTGCAAGGGAAAGTGATGACAAGTCATTTCCACTATACTTTGTGGTGACAATAAAGAGGCAAGTACTGGAGCTGGATGAAATATTCTACAGTCTTTATTTAACATAAGATGAGCCTAAATAAAGGACTGAGAACAGAAAGGTCCAGATTCCCATCTGTATTTACTTTCCCAGGGAACATTCCTTATATTCCAGGGATGTTCCTGGAAGACAGGGATGTGTAACAATTGCATAGGAAATGGTTTGACACACGTTCATCTGTTCCCTTTTCAAGTTGCAGTGAATAATGAAGAACATGATTTATAAACTGCATACATGACTAACTGAATAACTTATTTATTGAGTATACTAAAATCTGGCCTATAATCAATTTGTTAGTATATGCTTGGGGAAGGTGTGATATAAAGATAATCACTTTTAAGACTTCTTGCTAAAGAAGAGAGTGGATGAGGCTTTTTATAATCTTATCTTTAACTTTCTTTCCACATCTTGACAGATCCTGTTTTTGTGCACATAAGGATTCCTTGGTCTTCACAAGATTAGCCTCCATAAAATATAAGCATTCTGCCTGTGCCTAGAGATTATCCCAACTTTCTCCCCTTTTGGAAAAGGGGATAGCCACATGAACCTTGAACTTTGCTCATATGATGAAAGTTATTCTGCCATTAATAAATAATATGGAATTCTCATATCAAAGGCAAGTTGCTAAAGAAGTTGTGCTTTATTTAGTGCTGACTTCTAAGCCTTCTAGAATGTACTTAGGTTGTTAGAAGCAGATTATTGGCCCAAATGAAAATAAATGACCCACTATAGACAGCAAACTGAAGATAAAAGGAACTAAGGACTAAGCTCCAAATATCATATTTAGTCATAATCAAATCAACCTGTATATAATGATTATATTACTTTGAACAATCAAAATTCTAGGAATACATTTTGCCTTGCTTGAATCTTGTAAATGATTTTGGTGGTCATTTCTGGGGAGAGAGGACAACAAAGTCAGATGATGACCACAACCACACAATAGACTTTTTCCTTTTCATGGCACTTAAATGCAACACCCATAAAATAGAGTAGGGTTAATTGTGCTTGCAGCCACCATTTTCAATTTTTCAACATACCCATGGCCTCTCCAAGAGATGCCCCATTTTGGAGAACAAGCAAGTCAGGTAAGTAAGTGTCTGTATTACACAGATCAGAGCCAGAAATGAGAGAAGACTGAATTGAGAGACAGAAGAAAAAAGTGATGAAAGCTCTAAGAATCAAAATAAGTCTTTTAGAAAATGTCTAGACCTCCTTTGTTAACTCTCTCCAAATCTACAGCCATTAGTGTTCAGTTTCATAGGTGCAGAGAGCTCAAAACTGAATCCAAGTGGTATGTGGATATAAAGCAAAGGGAAAAGACAACAAAAATAGTAGCAGCATTAGTATAAAGTGAATGGGATTTTATGAGATCATGAGGATCAATTTAATAAAGCTATAGTTCATCCTTGTAAAATTCCCTTCAAATGTGCTCTTCTAGTATTTTGTAACTATCTGTTGCTTCTCAAGGGTAGTTATAGTCCCAATATTTTTGGAACTTACCACATTGGAGAGATTTTTTAAAATAGAAATGAATGTATATTCTAATGCAATTCAAGTTTTCCTATCTTAAACTATCTAGCAATGCAATTTATTCAAGTCCAAAGGTCCTATGCAAAATACAGTTGTATTTATTTGAATGGTTAATTTTCAAATTACTTGGTTAGCTTCTGAAGCATTTACATACAGTAAACAAGAATTCAAAACATATCACTTCTCAAAAGATAAGCCTAATTTGTGAAAGTGGGTATTTTTTTTTATTTCTAGCAGGAATTCTTTCATCTTGAAAATGTGAAAAATATCCTGTGAATATTATGACAAGCACATATTCAGATAATTCCATTATGCATTTCATTGCATATATTATCAGAAGGTTCTTCCATCTTCAGTTCTGGATGAGATGGCACTGTCCTAGACAGACCCAGTGACCAATGTCCTAGACCAGGGGTGGGATTCAAATTTTTTAACAACCGGTTCTGTGGGCATGGCTTAGGTGGTGGGCGTGGCTTGGTGATCATGTGACTGAGTGGACATGGCTTAGTGGTCATGTTATTGGCTGAGTGTGGCCAACTCAATATCACTCACATCGAGGCACACATCTCCTCGCCTGGCCTCTCATGACTGTGGGGAAGCTGCAACAGTTGTAAGTGTGAAAAACGGTCATAAGTCACTTTTTTCAGTGCCATTGTATCTTTGAATGGTCACTCCACACAAGCAAAGTACCAGCAAAGGAGGGGAAAGAAACTCCAGAGATGTTCCTGAGACAGGAAGTCTAGTCCTGCCAAGAATGTAATAAGGGTTAACGGAGAGGCACTTTCTGTAAGTAACACCAGAATGTTTCCTTCCTGCCTTCCTTACAGGATTAGGCCAGTAATTTCTTCTAACAACCAGTTCTCCGAACTGCTTAGAATGTTAACAACCAGTTCTCGCGAATAGGTGCGAACAGGTAGAATCCACCCCTGTCCTAGACTCAAGGTTCCTGCTTAAAGAGCATGTGACAGCCTTTATACTCCTTGTAGACAGCTGGTCATTTGCACTCTGTCTGCAAGGAGTATAAATCCTTCCATTCTCCACCATCCAATCTAGCTGAAGAAGTTCTTGGATGAGAAGTGAAACGTCTTCAAAGAAAAAACATAAGGTCCAATTGCCTCTTGAAAAAGCACCTTTGGGATAACCATGACCTGGATGACTGAGCATCTCCATTTAGACATTTAGCTCCTGATATGTGGAATATTCTCCCCTTGCAGATTAAAATGGCCTCAATCCTGCTGGTCTTTCGTAAGGCTTTAAAAACTTGGGTGTATACCTGAGCCTGGAACTCTGAAAGTATTAAAGTCGCCATTTCTTGGCTTTATTGTTAACTCTCTCAGATGCACTCTCTCTCTCTCTTTCTATGTATGTATGTATGTATGTATGTATGTATGTATGTATGTATCCAGTAATCCTCCACCCTTTTCAGAAGAACAAAAGAAAGGCTTTGCTGGGTTATTCTATGCCCCACATGATCAGCCAGATGCAATCAGGAAGCATTGATTATTTCTATCATTTAGTAC